AGGGTTTAAATGGCTAATTATCAAAATTTCTTCTTCTAAAGTACCTTTAATTTTTTTTTCCATTTCACATTGGTAACTGATATAAAAAATTGATAAATATAATGAATGAAGAAAATTTATTGGTAACTAAAGCAGAAATGAGGGTTGGAAGCTATACGGAAACAGCGGAGGGCGCCATCCCCTCTCTTTACAGATACCCGATACCCCTCTGTAAAGGGCTTTCATATTGTTAGTTTTAATTTTATATATCACTTATCCATAATTTTTTAAAAAGGTTTTCACACAAAATTTTGAGGATGTACTAATATGGAAAAAAAAAAAAACCTGTACCACTACGACCCACGAAGGGTCTTTGGTTCAGTACTATATAGGGAAGGTACTGTTTCTTGGTCAACGGGATGATAACGGGAGCAATGGGCTCCATACCGACTGCTGCTATGGAAATAATGTTGAACATGCCACCATTGCGATTGGAGGTGGAGGCTCGGGCAACAAATACATTATACAGGCTGAGTAAGCTAAAGAGATGCTCCTTTATCCCTGGTCAAGCAGTTGGGACGCGGTGTCAGTGACAGTTTGTTGCTGTGAAGGTGAAGCAGGGCTAGAGCCCTTATCGCTGAGTTAGTATTTTTTCGGGCTTTTACACAATTGGGGCATGCCCAATTCTTCCGTAATGCTCTTAATTTTTCAAGTTCACCGTCGTCTGCGATAAAGCATTTGCTATGTAAAGTACCTTGATATGTAGAAATAGAGCATGTCAGGAGTTTTTTTCTTCTCTGGCAATTGTCTATTTACAAATTGGGCATGAAACCATCTTGCCTGGTACCAATAAAATGTAAAATTTAGAAAAGATGTGGATAAATAATACGTTAAATAGAACAATAAAATTGACGTAGCTGCAACCTGGACACTGGGGGTGCTGACTTATAGATAGTGGCTAGAGCTAGGCCTTATCTTACTCATGCGCTCCCCACTCCTAGTCTCAACTAAAATGTCTAACAGTCTGCCTGTAAGCCAGCCGACTGAAATCCTGATTAGCTTCCTTCACTCCTCTCGTCACAAGCTCTAGGTGAAATGAAGATTCAATCTCACCTGTGGATTTAGCACATTTAATAGATGGGTCTAGTTGATAAAGATAACAAATATCTGGGTAAAACTACTAAATTCACTAATTAAGCTCGGGCTATTTAACTATTCAGAGGCCTGGACAACAATGATCAGTTAAATAATTTAAATTGGTAATTTTATTTATCACTACTCGTTCATTGACTTCTATTTCTGAATTAATTTTAACATCTACGGTCACTGCATGTCTAAAAGGGCGGGAGATAAAGCTATATTGTATTTAAAGATTTATAGGAAATCATCAGTTCATGTCACCATTCGTAAGCAGCCCCTGGACTCTGGCACCTCCGGGGAGGACAACTGCCCCAGTCTCACTGCCAACACAATGGCCCTATTCGTTTCTACCATCCTTTAAAATCCTTAAATAAAAATTTGTTTTAAAATAAAAATATATAAATTTTTAGATTTGATTTTATAGTAAACATTTTTTTTTTTTTTTTTTTTCCTCTCCTTTCCCGCCTTTTCGGCTATACAGGGATTTTCCTAGGGCAGGGAAGAGGGCAGGAGATTAATGCCAGTTAAAAGTTCCCACCACCAGGACGTGAACTCATAATTCCTAGTAATCCCACATTTATAACTCATAGTTTTTTCCTAATTCAACTTTACTACAACCTTTAGAAAGCTGGATTATTATTACTCTTCCTAACCATATAAATAACTTTTAGATTTTACGCCTACGGAGTTGAGCTTGGGGCTTCACCAAACCATCGAATTCCTATCGTATCCAATCCTTACAATCCAAAATCCTTTGTAAAATTCTTAATGCCCCATATTTTTTCATAAATAAAACCATTCATAAAGATCTTATTACTCTTCCTAACCATATAAATAACTTTTAGATTTTACGCCTACAGAGTTGAGCTTGGGGCTTCACCAAACCATCGAATTCCTATCGTATCCAATCCTTACAATCCAAAATCCTTTGTAAAATTCTTAATGCCCCATATGTTTTCATAAATAAAAATATTCATAAAGATCTAAATGTTCCATATGTCACTGATTTAGCCTGAGCCCAATATCTATCCTTTCATGATAAATTCCAGTCCCATCCGAATCCACTTGTTTCCAGCCTTGCTACTTAATCGTTTCCTGATAAACCTCCTAGGGGTCTGAAGATGGCCCCTTGATCTTCTTATCTAGAATTATTTAGTCAGTGCTACCACTGGCTGGTATCTCAAAAGTCTGTTCATGTTATTATTTCTGATTTGTGCATATTTGCTGGTGTTATTTATTTAATACAGTTGTAAATTTCAATAAAGAAAAACTTTTCAAAAGGTTTTACTATATATCTCCTGTTCTAATTTGTTTACGGGATCTGGTATGTGCCATTATGTGTTATTTAGAAGGCCCTAAATTCCTGCTAATTTGTGTGGGTATGTGGTGTCATGTTGGAATTATTACAATTTTTGTGATTTAACAAAAAAAAAAAAAAAAAAAATCGAAGGCTCCACCTGTGGCAAAAATTTTGAAAAAAAAAAGTATTTAACGATATTTATAAATTTATTTTTAATTGAAAAGTACAAATCTCGTCTTTGTTTCTCCTTAAAAAAAATATTTGAATCCTCTTTGTTCCTTTGGTCAGTACAAGTTGTTTCAATATCGTACTCATACTATTGTTATATGCCAAATATAATACCTAACATAATATTGAGAAAATTTCCAGTGCATTTGAAAACTAGAAATATTAATCTCTTTTTTTTCATCTTCAATACCAAAAATTTATAAAATCATTAGTTCAATTAATAATTACCTAGCTCGTGGCACAGAATTTATATTTATATTTTGTATATTATTTATTTTAACCCTTTGACTGTGGTGTGTTATTCGAGTGTTTCTACCAGATGGTGGGTCCCAAAATCCAAAAAGATGTTCAGAAAAACGGATTTTTTTTCGTTTGTATAAATTTGTTTTTAATACTATTTTGAGTCACCCAGCATAATCTTAGCTTTCAAAAATGCATTTAACCTTTTTATTTAACTTTTAATAAATGGGCAATATGCCTTCCCGGCCACACATGATAATGCAAAATTAGAGTGGCAATCCCGCAGCACTTCGTTTTCTTGTGTATTTGCTCATTTCTGAAAAGCAGATTAACTGTAAGTGACCATAAAAATTTAATTATATTATTTCTAAAATAAAGGACACTAACTGCAAGATTCGGATTTCCTACTTTTCTGCTGGAAATTAGGCAATTGTTCATATACATTTTTTGTAGATCTTGATGTCTACTATCAACTTTTTAAATATTTCCCTCTACTTACGAGACACCCTGTTTATATAAAATATAGGAAACTTACGTTGATTTGTTTAGTAGACAGAGATTCACGTCATAGTCACAGAGCATTGAGTCAAAAACTTATTAACATTTATTTGATGCATATAACATTTAAATAGAATATAGATAAGGTCCTGTATATGAAAAAAATAACAGAGAAACAACGTACCTTGGGTTGAGAATAATCTGTAACTGATAGCTTTCAAATGGTCAGAATCCGGAACGACTACACTGAGTCAGCTACAGAGGACTAATGAATGCACCAACCAAGCCACAAGTCAAATGGAGAAGACGGGACTTGTCCCTACCTGTTCAAGTGGCAACCGCTCAGGCGGATAGGCATATTTCCCGGCCACTCCAGTTACCCAACTCATTACCGGTAAGGCATATATCCCGGTCGCACCAGTGACCCAACTCACTGCCAGGAAGGCATGTATCCCATCTGCAGTCATAGGGTTAAGATTATATTTTATATATATTTTAAGAGTGTATATACTCCTTTTTTTAATGGGATATTGTGATAATGTTCGGGAACGAGTTGGAAGAAATTGTTCTGGATAACCAGTAAATATATTAGAAAACCAGAATTATTCAGGTTTTTTTTTTTTAGAGAAGCACTAAATATCATCAAAAGATTGCTGATATTTATAAATAAAAAGAGGATTAGTCAATGTGAAAATGTTATGTGCCTTGTGTGTATCAGAGTAAAGAAGTATTATAAAATGGATTTTAGTGTCTGTAATGAATTCATGCACAAAATGTTCTCTAATGACCTAGCATTTGTTGGTGGTTGGATCATTTTGTGTTTTATCCTATAGTGCCTAACTTTAATAATTATTAGGATTAGCGATCTTGTAAAGTTTTATTTTTTAAAATATTATTTATCTGTTTGAACCCTATCAAAATTGTGTTAGGTAGGTCTGTTTGACTTACCTAACACAATTCTCCCTTCTAGGTTTGAGCTCATTCAGCCCCTTAGATGTTAACTTAATGTTTCAGTGATTATTATATAATAATAATAATAATAAAAGGCTTAGCGAGCCCAAAGGTTCAATGCCGACACCACCAATCGCCCATTACACACCTCCCTCCACCGTTCGCCATCCAAACCCAGTCCCTTCAGGTCGGCTTTAATGCAATCTTCCCACCTTCGCTTCGGCCTACCCCTCGGACGCTTACCATTCGGCACAGCAAATATTAACCTTTATTATATAATATTATTATTAATTTCTTATCTAGTCCTACAATTTTTAAAATTTCCAAATGATTCATATCAATTTTGTTTTATAAGTTAGCTATTCATCCAAAATATTCATAACATCAATTTACATTTATAATAGAGTTAATGAATTTATAATAGAATTACATTTATAAATTCTCAACAAGTGTTTTCATGTGATAGTATTATTACTGTGCACATTTCCTAGTTGTATTTTTTTATAATACAGTTGTAAATATCAATGAATAAAAAAAAAAAAAAAAAAAAAAAATATATATATATATATATATATATATATATATATATATATATGTATTTATTAAGTTTGTTTATATATTTCTTGCAAAGATGATTTAATCAATAATAAATGTATTTTATCAGATGCAGATGTCATTGGAAGTTTGGCAAAATGTGAAATGCTCCATAGATCTAATATAATAGCGATGGTTGGTGGGGGTAAAAAGAGTAAATACCCCGATAACGTTGTACTGCTGTATGATGATGCAAATGATATTTTCGTTTCGGAAATTGCCTTTCCTTCATCTGTCAAAGCAGTCAGATTAAGGCGCGATAAGTGAGCATATAATTAACTTATTTTTCTTATTACATTTATCTTGTTATGTATACTGCAGTCAAGAGTTATAACCATATTACTTAATTATGTGTTTAATTAATAATAGGTTTTAAATTCTATGTATAACAATTTTTAATTTTACATATCATATGTGTGTGTGTTTGTATAAACTTTATTTAATTTGCTTGGTTGTAATTCATTTTCTTACTTTAGGCACTATCTTTTAAACTAAAGTAGCAATACAGATAGAGGCATTAATTTTGACTGATTTAGATGGTAAATCCACTCTAAAATATGCATTTTAGACGTCTGTCCTTTATATATTCCACCATTCTGGTCTCAAATCTTTTATCACTCTAAATTTAATATTGAATTCCTTAATTATTTTCATGCTAGATAATAATTAATTACAGACTAGACTACCATATTTAGTTAAAGTTGTCTTTATCATGGATAATTCTGACAGATTTAAAGTTTCATGTTTAAAAAAAACAATTGGGCTACTAGTTTAAATGTGATTATAGATCAAAATAAATTCAGCTTCTGATAATGAATCCATATATTATATAATATTCTGTTTTTATTTACTACCTACGAATCAAATATTCTTTTGAAAAATATTTATTTAAAACGTATTAGTTTTAGCCTTAAAAAAAAAAAAATTGAAGTTAAGACTGCAGCATGCATGTTAAGGAAATGTAGTCCTTTTAATAATTAAATAATAATAATTAAATGTAATTATTAATTTATTGAGATTTATATATTTACATTTTGAGGGTACTTATTTATTTTAGTTGGTTTGCGTATTGAGATCAGCCTTCCAATTAGGTGTGAAAACAGGTGGATGTGTATGTTTGTTCATTCTTGGCATAAAAATTTATTTTTTATCCACAGATGCCCTCAAATTGTAATATTACTATATTTATTAAGGCATTACTATCAGTATGGAATTCTAACCTGTGATTTGGATGTAAAATGTGTTATAATGGAATCAAGAATGATAATGTTCATGTCAAATTTTTATCTGCATATTTTTTCTAATTATAATTATACATTAAAATTATTCGTGGTCTACAATAACAACAGTATTGTAGGATATGAATCCATTTGAATAGATCTCTTACATTCATCCAGATGTCAGGTTGTCAGGTTTGATGGTAAAAGTTTTTCTTTGTGATGAATTAGATCAGAATGTTTTCTATAAGCAAATGACTTCCTGAGGTAGTGTGTTACATAATGAATAAACAATTGATGGTTGTAAAGTTATTTTATTTTCAGAATAGTAGTTGCTACTAGTACACAAATCAACGTATTTTCCTTCCCCGACAAAATTGAAAGACTGTTTACACTAGAAACACGAAATAATCCTAAAGGTCTTTGTGAAATTACTCCTGTTATGACTGCCCATAGACATTTCCTGGTGTACCCTGGACGCAAAGTCGGAAGCGTACAAATTTTGGTAAGTATTCTTGATTGTATGTAATATTAGTGGACCGGAAAGTAATGTCGTTTCTACGCATGTCAATATTTGATTGTTATTTGTCATATCATTGTAAGTTATGACAAAGATATTCTAAGATTATAGTGACTTGTTTGTTTAGCTGTAAATAATTAAATTAATTTTTTGTTGTTGAAATTTTGGGTGAAATTGCCAAATACCAGAAGAGGCACATATCTGGCATACTTTTTGAGTTTCACAAGGGTAATAATGCAACAGTTGCTACCAAAAACATTAGTGATATTTATCGGGATGTCACGCTACTTATGTATGTATCGAAGTGCATTAGAGGTTCCTATATGCCAAAGGTAGTTTTCCTAATTCAAATTCAGTAAATGAATGAATGTAATGAAATGAATGAAAAATTATTTTAGGTCCCCTTAAAATAATAACTTCAGAAAATATATACTTCATTCTGGTATGTGGATATGATATAGATATTTCAGGTTGTCCAGTGACCGGGAAAACCAGGAATTTCACGAACGGAAAAACACGAAAATGGTACAGGAAATTAAAAAAAAAAAATGGATACTTTTCAATTTTTTTTGTTGCTGCTTTTGTGACAAAATAAATGAGCTTGTACATTTACATACATAGTAAAGAATATTGTTGTATTCACATAATCTTAAGAATAAATATTTTTATTAATTATTCCGCTGTTATTATTTGGCAGATTTAATTGCAACTTTTTTTAAAAAAATAAATTTCCCAACTTTAGGAGCCTTGGAATTATAACTACAATGAATGTGTGTGATTTAAGGAAGAAATAACATTATCTGCCTCTTTTAGACTGTGGTGATTTACTGGTAGACTCTTCTTAAAAAATTGAAAATTTAGGCGCCAAAATTCACCTTTTTTATGGAGCTTGAAATTTAATTACATGAAAATATTCGGTTTAAGAGAAAGAAATAAGGTTGTCTGCATATGGTAGGCCTCGGATATCTACTGGCAGACCCAAATTAAAAAATTGGAATTTTCTGTTATAAAAAATAACCAAATTCAGGAGGCTTGAAATTTTAAAATAAGAAAATATTTGGTTTATAATCAAGAAATACAGTTGTCGCTTATGCTAGGTCCTAGAAATCCACTGGCAGACTCAAATTAAAAAATTACAATTTCCGGTGTAAAAATTCACCTATTTCTGGGTTCTTGAAATTTTAAAATGAGAAAGTATTTGGTTTATAATAAAGAAATTACGTTGTCTGCCAATGTTTGGGCATGGAAATCCATTGGCAGACTCAAATTCAATAATTGCAATTTTAGAAGTAAAAATTTACCTATTTCAGGCTTGAAATTTTGCTGATGATACTTCTTAATTAATTAATAATATTTCTTGTTAATTAAAAATGCAGTCTGCCATTGATAGGCCATTGCTTTGTACTGGCAGACTGAGATCAAAACGGCAATGAACGTGACGATGCAGTCACCAAGTAGCCCAAGAGCCTGGTCGAACTCCGAAATGGCGGCCTTCTTAAAATCATAGGCGGTCTCTAAAAACTCTAAAATATATCATTTGAAGATTTTTATTTAGTTTCTTTTATTAAACGTGATTTTTACTTTTTACAAACTTTTGCTGTCCATCCTAGATGGTCGGATTCATAGGGCACACAAGTTCCAATAAAACACAATTTAATACTAAAAATCTTTTCTTCATTGAAGACGTTATTATACAATTGCTCTTAGTATAAGTTGTACTTCAGCTTCCTTGCCACCCTTTTATGTCTTACCAAGCAGTAGTACTTGTTGCCAGGGTTATTTCTTTGCTGACTTATATTCTGTCGTCTTGGTCCCTGCCCAGATGTCTTGTAAAGAAATCCCTTTTAACTTTGTGTAGGCGAATGACCTCATCGCATACCATCTGGTGGAAGTACCGCACGACGATGGAAGGGTACTTTCTTCTGCTCCTTTTTGTTTCAACGAAGTTCACCACTCAGTTTTGTACCCAGAGCTGCCCCTAGAGATTGGCAAATGCTTCTCTGAGTAACGAGTACCACATATTTTACTCAAATTGAATCACTATTGGGAATTCAATAACTGCTTCAGTTAATTTTTTGACATCAACTGAAGTAGTAATTAAAGTCTCTGGTACTCAAAAAAGGCCAGTATTTGATTAAAATACTTGGTACTCAGTACTCAGAATAGTGTCTCCTCATCTCTGGCTGCCCCTATGGAACAAACCAGGAAAGCCTGCCATTGTTTATTCTAACATAATAAGTTTCCAGTAGTTTTTTCTGACTCGTATCGAACAGGAAGACCAACAACGGAGGACAATGACAGATTGGGGGTGGAAGTGGAAGCAAATCCGTGTCAGATAATGAAGGAATCATTAAACAGTTTTAACCAACCTTAGTCAATCATCCAAAAACATTTGCAGCAGATTGGGAAACCACCACATGCAACTTATTGCTTCAGAGGCACAATACAGAAGCATTTTTTGATCGCTTGATTACCTGAGATGAAAAATGGATCCTCTATAATTATCCAAAACACAAATGGCATTGGCTCTCTCCTAATGAACCGGCATGAAGTTGATTTTTATTGATCAGGCATTGAAAATTTGCACTAGATGGCAAAAGGTTGTTGATAATAAGGATGATTACATCATTGATTAAAAATAAAAATTTATGTGCTTAAATTTAATGTAAGAAAACAACATTTCTTTCCAGTCTCCCTAATAGTGTTTGATCGAAAGGACTTTAAAAATTAGTAAAATTTAATCAAATAATTGTTTTTCTACATTATTTATTTCAATTTTAACTATAATCATTTTATAATATTATTTCAATGCTTTTTCTCAATTTTTTAGGACATATTTTAAATTTCATATGTGAATTACCTTAATATTTGTGTAGAGCTAGCTTTGTTTTAGAAATTGAAATCTTTGTTGTTTCTGATATTCTTAGTTTTCAAGTGATAATTTAAATTTGCTAAATTCAACATAAGCTGCAGGAGATAGCTGAAGTGTGCAGCTAGTGGGGATTGACGATCCCCCGGGATCTTGAGTTCAGTACACCGCCCTAACACACACACAGAACAGTACACCTCTCACACTGACACAAAGTCACTTACATTACTCACTTTAGGGTCACCTCTTCTTTGAAGAGACCTCGGATAAGAGAGCAGGTTAGGATGCTCTAAGAATGCAACCCTTCCACCTGACTTGGGGGCAGTGGGCTGATAACCCCTCCTCTTAAATCACTCTTTTTTCTCTTTTTTTGGGAGGGGTTTTCCACAACTTAAGGAGTCATATCCCCAACACCCAAAAGCCACTGCTCCCTGTCCATCCAATCCCCTTCATGGAGCTCTCTGGCTGCCATGCACTCTTTCACGTTATCTATCCATTTCTTTTTTGGCCTTCCACAATTCCTTCTTTCAGGTGGCATATAGTTATAAATTTTCTTTGGCCAGCGGTTCTCATCCATCCGCATTAAGAGGCTATACCACTTTAACCTTTTGGTCCCGATCAGGTGAAGGATGTTCTTTTGACATCCGACCTTGTCTCTAATTGCTGTGTTTGGGATCTGCTTGATTCTAGATATGCCACAGCTTCTTCTCCAGAAATCCATTTCCAGGGAAAGCAACCTATTTTCCACCTTTTTTGTAATTGTCCAAACCTCTGATCTGTAGGTGGTTACGCTTTCTACAAAGGAATGGTAGATCTTTTTAGTTTCCAATTTTATTTCCTTATTCCATAAGGTTGAATTTATCAAACTTATTATTCTTTTCCCATTGTTTATTTTATGTACGATGTCAACCTCATTACCTTCCTTTGAAGATAACCAGTACCCGAGGTACTTGAACTGTTGGCTGACATTGAGTGTCCAGTCATCAATTTCAAGGGGTGAATTTGGAGCGTTGAAAACCATGCACTTTGGATTACTTTTACTGATTTTCTGACCCTATCTGGAATAGGTGTATAGCAACTTCCTCATCATATAGCTCACATCATCCAGATCTGATGCGATTATGACTTGATCATTGGCATACTGCAAATTGTAGATGACATCCCCGATTTGAACACCCTTTCCACTGCACAATCTTTTCCAGTCTTAAAGGGCTTGTTCTATATAAATGTTGAAAATCAGGGGTGAAAGGCAGCAGCCCTGTTTTAATCCTTTGTTAATGGAGAAGCTTCTAGACACACTGTCTCCTATTTTTATAGCCCCTATTATATTTTTATAGAGTCCTTGAATTGCTCTGATGAGGTATCTCTTAATAGATGTGGTTTCCAAAGCTGTCCACAATTTGCCTAGAGGTATTGAATCGTAGACCTTGTGTAAATCTGCAAATATGTGGAGTTCACAGTCGTGGGCCATCTTCTTTTCTATAAGTTGTGAGAGATTAAAAATGTGATCAGTGCATGATATTTCAGCTTGAAAACCCCAAATCACTTCAATCGAAAACCTCAGCTCGAAAATCACTCATATTACAAACAAAAAAAGCCTCACACTACATAGGTGGTAAAGAGGATTAGATTATTATGATGATGAAATTCAACATATATTTCTGGAATTGAAATTCACAATTAGACTTATTAATATTATTTTTTAAATCCTATTCTCAATCACTTCTACAACTTTAATTTTATTTGATTACTGTTTATTTTATTTTTATTTTTTTCAAGTACGCAACTTCTAGGTACACTTATCTTACCTTAAGAAGTGCATGTATTCGTTGTCACGAAATTGTTTTTTAGTTTATCCACGTTTCTGAAATCCAGATAGAATTTTATTTGTTCCATAAAATGAGATTAATATAATTAACATTGAATTTTCAGGAATTATTATACATACCTTTTTTGTTAACGTAAAATAGAAATTAGTTGGGTTCCTTAAGACATTAAAGTTGAAAAATCTTGGGACCTGATTCCAATGAATGAATTTTCATAAAACCTTTTTGATTGCATTGTTAAAAACTTAAAGAAATAAAGTTTACCCATCAGAAAATTGAAAAAATAAAAG